TTTCTCAACGACAGTGAATAATTCTCCATCCTCTGAGCTTCCTCACATGTCGACGAAGTATTACCAACTGTCCAATCAAGAACCAAAGGAAACTTGTCCTTGTCCCGAAAATACACCACAAAACTCGTGTTTGACAACTTGAACATGGCTTCTTATTCCGCTAATATATAGTAGAGCATAACTGCAAGGATTAAAACCCCACACCTTGGTATGATTATAGTAACTAGATAATACTATAGTGTAGTTTTGAAGTCCAATCGGGATAGAACTAAGTTGGCAACACTCGCCATTTGAACAATTAGTCCCAAAACTAACGTCCTCAACTTGGTGATCACAATAAGATACGCAACCTGCGCCAATAACGGAGCCAGAATATTTTATCAGTGGGGAACTACAAAAAAAGTAGATATATATATATATATATATATTTTAGACTAGGACATAGTTTTAAATTTCAAAAAATCGAAAATTATAATTTCAAGATTCGAGTGGGGGAGGAACTGACCGATGCTGTATCTGCGCTCCCCTCGGTAATTGTTGATCAAAACGGCGTGAGTGTCGCAGCCGACGGCAGTGAACTTGTTCTTGCCGGCGGAGATAGTGAAATTGGTGGTGGCCAGCGAGAGCCATGCGGTGGTTTTACTGGTGTTTGTTCGGAGCCCCCTTGGATCATAAGAGTCTCTGGCTACGTACTGGAGGACTTGCAGCTCGCCGTTGAGAAGTGATATGTCGTTTATCTGAACATTGCCGGTGCCCAAAAATGGGGTGGGAATTCCGGTGGAATTGTCGCAAGTGATGTTGAACTTTTTGTCTAAATAGCAGCTGTCACCAATGCCGAAGGTATACGGAATGGTGACATTTCCGCAGCGGTCCTCGCAGCAAGGAAGGGCTTGATGAGCGGTAGCTGAACTGGTGGCGCAGTTGAATAGCACCGTTTGTTATTATCAGCCCTATTACGTGTGAGAGTTTCGTGATTTTCCGTAAATGATATTTCTAAGTACTACTTTTTTCTTTTTTTAAGTGTTGTCCCGTTTAGTTCGTTGATTTAAGTTTTTAATTTGAATTGATATGTGACTTTATGTGAGAGTTTTTTACTGTAGCAAAAAAGTTAGATGTGATTGTTTCTGAGAGCTTTTTACTGTAGCAAAACTCGAATTCTAAACTCGAATCGGTGAAATGAACGGGGCCTAAGTCTAACACAAAGTGCTTCTATATTTATAAATAGAGGTTATTTGCATACTATGCCCATGATACTAATTATTCGTAGGGGTCGCATGGAGTGGGTAAACGGCCAGTTTAGAGGCGTAAATTAATTAAGGTTAACTTAAAAAAAAAAACCCTGATTTCGTTATTAGTCTCACTTTAATCCATAACTTTTAAAATGTTCCTAACCTATTCCACAATTTATCAGTTTGTTTCAATTATAATCCTTTTCATCAACTCATCATAAGCTAAAAGAGAATGGATCTTATTCATATTATTTTGTTTGTTTTTAACATCCCGGCTTAAGTGTGAAAAGGAATAAAACTGAAACAATCTGAAAGATTGAGTATTAAATTTGAGGCGTTTTAAAAGTTAAGAATTAAAGTGAAATTAACAGCAAAATTCAGAGAACATTTACTTGAATTCACCCCATTTATCAATAGTGATTTGTTTATTGGACCGGTTGAGGAGTAACTGATAAATGATGTACCACCACAAAGAAACGATTACATTGGTATTCTTAATACGTCAACTCTCAGGACTTGGGAATGCATAGCATATGCAAATTTGTAGGATTCAAGCTAATGAAAGACAAATTAATACTTTGATCTGCTGATAAAAAAATAAATATTTTCGTTTTTGAAAATTCTATAAGCTGAGGTGAAGACTGATCAATTGTGGAGCTCAATATATACTGGAGGTCAAGACTGAAGATTCGTAAAATGTCTTTTAAGTTCTAATAAAATGCGATGTTTAATTTTTTATTTTCAAGAAGTAGAGAAGTAAACTCTAACAACATTGTCCACGATTAGTGTTTAATTAACATACATCGACTATATAATTAACTAGTTTTCGCATAACTACTGTCTTTAACTTTACGTGGAAACAATACTCACACCTATAATCAAGAAAATATTTTGCAATTTTGTTTAACGAGCGTACGCCACGTGATCAAATTTCTATATTTGATAGATAATTACTATGAAAATGTAACCATTCTGTTAGGACTATTAGTTGACAAATTTGTTGACAAAAAGTTGTAAATTCTAAAACAAAATCAGCAAGATTATGGACTACTGTAGAGACTCTATTCTTGACTACTTGCACCGGATTTGGGATGATGATTTGGGATGATTTCCTCAATAAAAGAAAATAAGTTTATGGAGCTTATTTGGTTGACTTTTGGTAGCTAATTGATGGGCTCTATGTATGGGAAGAATCCTTGAAGGAGAAGTTGCTTTATTTAGGGTGATTTTGGTAGAAGAATAGATGGGATTATAGACCAATTTAAGGTGTATATATTTGGTTTGCAGCCATGAACGTGGTAGAGCTTTTGAATGAAATATTCTGCAGTAAAATGCTGCTTTGATGCTCTTTGAGTGAAAAAAAAAAACAAAAACAAAAGGTGGTTCTTCAAGAGAAGAACGTATTGCTTTCAGGGGAAAGTTTTCAAAGACGAGTGGTGCTCGCTGGACAAGGCTACTAAAAGGATTCTCCACAACGACAACAACATCAAGGAGGGAGTCTTTGAGTGTGTGAGACCGATTGGTGTTTGCAATCTCTTTATCTTAGTGGGTTGTTCACTGTCTGGGCATAGCCCTGCAGATGTAGGTGTGCGCACCAAACTGTGATATCAATTTCTTGTGTCTTTTATGTTTATGTTGATCTTTCTGCACTTATAATTTGTTGATGCTGAGTCAAAAAAAATCCATCTGCACGTATCTGTCATCAATGTTAGAACTAGTGTTATAACACTTTTTGTGACACACAAACGGACCTCTTACATTCAAAACTCATTCGTATAGCGCTGCATGTTTCGATCACTGTACAGGAGTGGAACCACAAGTGACGGTTCGTGGCTTGCGAGGGATAAAAGTGACTCCGTATAGAATGTCGATTTATGACTAGTGGAGGATACATAAGTCATAAAATTAAGTTTTCATGGTTCTCATCAATAGCCTTCCATATTGAATAATGAATATTACTTGTTATTAATTATAATTAAGTTGAACTCGATAATTAGTGGTGGGGCAAAATGGCCAAGAAACTAGCAGTCTAGAACTGCGCTTTGTCTTTCATTGACTAATCATGTCATCATATATGTAAATCACGTACCCGGCCAATTCTATATATAAATTACCTTGATGACAGATACGTGCAGATGGATTTTTTTTACAACTAGTGTTATGACATTGACTAATCATGTCAACAATTACTCCAATAAGATAAGTTAGTGCGTCAAACTTTTGAAAAACTATAAATAACTTTGTATTTAAAACTGTGTTTCGTGGGGAAAAAAATTAACTTAAGATGCATATATATATATATATATATATGTGTGTGTGTGTGTGTGTGTGTGTGTGTGTGTGAACCGGCACCATGTCTTAAGTACTTGTTTACAAACATTCATATTCAGTAATGTTGGTATGGCGTAAATGAGATGGGTCTGTTTGACAAGAGTTTATTAGAAGCTGTTTTTAGTTTATGGTTCAAAAGCCATTAGGGAAATGTTTGGATGATCTATTAAGAGCTTTCAATTAAAGCTACAAAATGATCGGTTTCGAGAAAAGACACTTCCGAATAGATTTTAAAATTTGTACTATACTTTCATTACAGCATTATAAACATCATTTTTTTTGCTTATTAAAAAATTTAAACTTTGTATTAAACCCAATTACCAGCTCTTTAAAAAAATGTGCCATCCCACACTTATTAAAAAGTCACGGATTTTACTTTTTTTTTTTTTTGTTCTATTGACTTAAAAAAAAAAAAGAAGAAAAAAAAGAAGAAAAAAAACCTCTGCGAAACAGGCCCTGTAGCATACATTTCATAGTCGAAACACAACTTCTAAATTCCTGAATCTTATTTTAATCCATAAATGAACTTGAACTTGCAGGAGAGGTAAACTTGGCCTTATCACGAAACACTCGAGTTGTTGCATATAAATGTCCTCCTCAAGGTAGCATTAAAAAAAGTTGTCTTGACGTTCATTTGGCATATCTCATAATTGAAGTGCATGTGTAACTATGGATTAAAAAATAATAATAATAAGGACTTAAATGAATTTTAACATAACCACAAGCAAGGAGGTTCCTTCCTATCGCCATTTATGCATGAATGGTTCATATTGCATTTTGTATATGTTTACTACTTAGTACTGATTCTATTCCTTCATCTGGGGTAGGATTAATGTAATATTTCCATGTTCCACATAGATCTTTTCAAGGATATTGCTCCTTAATAGTAGCTTTTTAGTATCAAATTTGGTTTTCATTACGAAAGATTTTTAACAAGGCCTCTCCTTGTAATTTTCCAAGGAGATTTTAGACATTTTCAAAAATTATTTCCAATTTTAGTTGTTTCTTTGTCAGTCTTTTGGGTTGTAAAATGACCTGTGTTTTTTTAAATTTATTTTCGTATTTATTTCTTAATAATATTGGGTGTTGCTTGCTTGTAGGTGTCAATTAGGAATGATACCTGGTAATGGAAAATATTTAAATTGGTACTTTCTAATTTCAATTTCTATTGAGGACCATATTCTAAGGCCTAATTTTAAGTGCTGTCCATTACAAAAATTGATGAACTTACCCTTTGTATTTATTCATTAAAAGCTTATTACTCTGGTATTTAACAACATTTCTCAAAACAAAACCTGAACATTCTTATTCACAATCTTTTAGCTTCACAAAACAAAACCTGAACTTATTCACAATCTTTTACCTTCATTACAAAGTATTTAATTAGATAACCAGAACTAGTTAGCTAGAATAATTGATCAACAAAATCAAAAGGCTGCACTTCTTTTTATACATGTGAGGATAATCAATCCAAGACAGAAACTTTTCAACTTCAAGGTCAGGGACTTTCCGGGTGTCGAGTGATGTCCTGAAAAACCTTCAACCTGTTTCTCCTCATAAGCTTGATTTCATTTCCAGAAATACAACCCCTTAACTTCGACTTTACAGAGTAAGCTGTCGAATCTCCACACTTCTGGTTCTGACCAAAGTACAAACTACGTCGCGCAGGTGGATTCCTTGACCAAACAGAATTTCCAGGGGTGCTGTTCTCATCTCTCGGATTACAGAACTCGAGCTTTCGGGTCACATTTTTCATCTGAGTCTGAAGGTAAGGACTTTCATAGACTATGTTTGAATTCATGTTCTCATCATTGAACTCATTTCCACTATTCCATCTCTGAACGCATTCGCGCTTTTTGCTTGCTGCTTTCATCTGAGTCTGTAGACAAGGACTTCCATTGATTTTCATACTTTCCTCGCTAAATACTTCTTCACTGTTCCACCGATTATAATAATATTCACACGTTTCTTCTTCTTCTTCTTCAACCATATCTGCCCAGCTCTTCTTTCTATTGCAATCTGAGGAATCCAATGTTGGCTTTGAACTTTCAATCATAGGTTTACCAAGAGCAATTGGTGAAGTTGTGGTCAAATCTTTGCTTAAATTACTCTCATCATTTGTAGATTTCTTCTTATCACTGTTTTCCGAAGAATTCTTCCTTCTCCAATCCTCTTCATTTGATGGATGCTTATTTGAATTACCAACCACATGTTTTCTCCACTGTTCTGGTCTCCTCTCTTCTCCATCACTAAAACCCCACAAACATCTTCGTGGCTGTGTAAATGGAGTTCGCACACTGAACCTCTCTGGAGCTGGAGAAAAGTAGGTCTTCTTCAGAGAACTTGCTTCTGTTCTACTTGTACTAATGCCTGCCTTATTTGGACAAGCCTGTTGTGTATATTTCAAACTGCATCCTTCTCTGAGTGACATGAAACGCAAACTCTTATCGTTGTCACTCGCTGTGAAATTGGCCTCAAAATTACCATTATTCTCAAATTGATATGTATCCTGTTTTCGAGCGTCTTGCGACCATCTTGGTATTGTGGGAGAGAATAAAAGTGTTGACATTTCTTTGCAGCTATTTTCACAGCCTCCAACTGATCCTGTCTCGAGTTTAGTGAGCATTTCATGAGCACGTTCCAATGACTTGGCATACGTCTCATCCATCACATTCTTAACCGACGAAGCTCTTACAGCCTGAAGCAAAGACTTTGCCTCTGGTATTCTGTTCATGTGCATCAAGCAGATTGCTAAATTGCATTGTTTATTCTTGTCCGACTCCAGCAGTAGAGATTTCCTAAAGAAAATGTTACAAAATTTAAGAACAAATTCTGTGTTTTCTCAAAAAGAAAATGAATGCAACGTTATATAAGAATCAAAAGCTACCTGTAATATTCTTCTGCAGTTATATAATTATTTTGCTGCAAGTAAGCCCAGGCTAAGTTTCCCAATATCCTGCATTGATACAAGAAAAAGGTTTATGCATATTCAAGGAATATATATTTTAAACAAGAACTAAGGACTAGGACAAATGTAATGTATTAATATTATATACATATATCTATATATATGTGTGTATGTATATATATACCTTGCTTTTTCTTGTTCAATAGTTATATGAACCTTCTTCCCCTGAGATCTTGCTGTCTTTATCCTTCTTCCACCAAAAGCTGTGCCTTCCTCAATGCATTTCAGTTTGTTTTCGAGCATCTCAATCTCCTCTTTATTTCTTCCTGCCCTCTGCACAGAAAGAATAAAAGAGAAAAATTAAACTTAAAACTGAAGAATTGATGGTTTTTGTTACCAATTTTCACTCTTTTTCATATTCAGAATCAGTCAAAACATAACAAAAACAATCTTCATTCTTTTTCATATTCAGATCAATCAAAAAATAACGAAGTTCGCTCTCAAAGAATAACTTTTGGTTTTTACAAAACCATTACACCAAGCAAGGCAAAAGAATTCCATACTTCAATTTCATCTTCTAACTTCTATTTGCATTAAAATTAAACTCGAATTCAAAATCGAAACCGAAAACAAAAGGCTGCTTATTATAGAAGAGCAAGAGAAACGTGTACCTTGTACAATTCAACAAGCACATTGTCAATAGATTCCTGAGAATCAAGGGGACAGAGATGACGAAAAGATTTAATCGCCTCGATCGCCTCGTCGGACCGATCCAATTGCTTCATCACAATCGCCATGTCCTTCAACGCACTGTCAACTCTATCCCCTGCATTTATTGCAGACCAAAACAGAGATATTGCCTTGCCTGGATTCTTCTCTATCAGCTACATAAGGAGAAAAATCAAGTTTCAATAATGGGGTTCTCTCGAAAATGTGAAAATCTGAAGAAATTTCTATACAAAAGAAAAGAAAAGAATAGAAGTAGAAAGAATTCAAGAAGTGGCAACAAGAACAAGTTAGAGTTTTCTCACCTGAACTTGTTTGGCTCTGACATAGGGAGAATTACCGGCAGGAATTTTGTGAACCGCGTGAAAACGATCGCCATTTTTCGCCGGAGACCGTCTCTTACATTCCGTCATTGACGTAACTGAAGAATACGAAGGCTTTAAACTGTTCGACGACGCCGGAGGAGGCGTCAAGAACCCCCTACAATTAGGTGGAAAGACGGTGATCTCGTGATCGTTGTTGTTCCACATTTTTTTTTCTCTCCTCTGATCGATTCCCGTCACTTTCCCGGGAAAATCTCGGTTACCCTTTTCTTAAATCTCCAAGAAAGCAGTTGGAGAACTTCCCTCTTGAACAAATTCAATTTGCTTTGGACGGGATACGACGCGTTTCTTGAAGGAACGCGAATCGGTTTGTTGCTGTATATAGTGGTAAAGATTACCACTTTTTCTTCCTCTCTTGAGAGAAAATTCGTTTTCCCGAAAATGGGTTTTTTTCTGGGAAAGTGTGAGAAAGCGTGATGATGATCGACAGTGTGTATAATGAGAGAGAGTAAAGGGAGAAAACGGAGAAAGGTGAAAGGAAGCAGGGAGAGAGAGAGAGCTAGCCGTTTATATATAATTACTAGCCGTTGGGGTTGAGGAGATTGTCACACGTGTTTTTCATCCGTGTGACACTGTGACCGCCTCAAAAGAAAGTGAACTCAAACTCAGGTGACGAATCTATTTTTCTTTTTCTTTTTTTCTTTTTTCTTTTTTGAATGGAATCTATTCTTTAATTCCATTCAAGATTAGAATCACACAACCCTTTTCCTAAAAAGAAATAATATATTACTTAATTCTCCACTTCCAAAAAGAAAAAATAAATAGTTATTCTCTTATACAAAACATTACTTATTCTCAACAAAAAAAAAAAAATAGAGAGATTTAAGAATTACTCGCTTGAATTCTCAAAATAAAACAATAATAATAATAAAAAGAAATCCACCTACAGGAAACCAGTTTTTTTTTTTTTTTTTAAAGCTGAGTTTTGGTTTTTTTCATAAATGAATTTTTACTTTAATTGGTTTTGGTTAGTTTTTGAAGAGTGCCAAATGATGGAATTTAGACTTTCTAAGAATTTAAACTTTTATTTTAAAAGTCAACTTATTAAGAGTGTCTATTGTCCAGTGTCTTTATAATTAGTGTTTATTGTTGTTTTTAAATAATATAAAATTCGGGTTTCTTTTTCCTATTTAAACACACTCGCAAGAGGGGGCACTCTTTAAAGTTATTAATCTTGAATTGAATGAAGTGAGCCGCTCATTTAAGTTAATTAGGCTCCATTTATTTATCTAAAACCGTATTGTTTTGGGATAAACCCGTGTAGAAGCATTAAGCAATTTTGCACTTTCTTCTAAATAGATAAGAGATATCCATTTTTCTTAACAAAACTATTATCTATCTGTAATCTATAATCTATAATCTATAATCTATAACCTATACAGAAGGGAGAATGAGTTGCAATTTTTTACTTCAACCAAATAAGCCAATGATTCACATCACATAATTATCTTTAATTTTAAATATAATGGTCACGTTCATTGCACCGATTTGAGTTTAAAATTCGAGTTTTGCTACAATGAAAACTCTCAGAAATAATTATATTTAATTTTTTTTATTACAGTAAAAAACTCTCACATAAAGTCACATGTCAACTTGAATTAGCAAACTAAACGAGCCCTAACTTACACATTCTACCACACTTCGTCTCACACCTCGTGGGGGACGTAGAGGGCTACTTGGAGGAGGTGGTGGAGGCCATGGGATTGGAGGAGTTTGGGACGGTGGCGGAGGTTTATCTCATCTCACTTAAAGTTGTTGATCAAGAAAGGCCTTGCGTTTGTTGGCTTAATTAATTGCTTAATTAGCATGTTAAGTTTTGCTGTTGTTATTGATTTCATTTCCATACGTCTGTTGATTTTCTGCTTCGAAGATATTGTATAATTTGGAATTAATTTTAAGTTATTTACAGAGGAAATCTTTCATATAATTGTAGAATTTGGTATGGATACAATTTTTGTCATTTATTTTCATAAGTTTAAATAGTATATCTATTAAAAAAAAAAAACTTGTGAAACTATTGATGATAAACACCACAAAATATGTGTCTCATCAAAAGAATGTTATAGCTTATAGGGTTTACTTTCTATTAATTAGAGGCATTATTCTATTTCTGTTCACATACAAGTACTGGATTCATGTTTTAAATTAATATAAAAAGTACTGTCACCAATAGACGTAGAATCAAGATAAAACTTAAAAGAGAGAAAGGAAAACCGAAAAAGGTAAATTAAAGGAGGATTTTCAAAAGAAAATGGAGAATTTTACCTAATAATACTCTCATCTTTATAGCTCTAGTTAGATTTTAAAAGAGGAACTTAAAAGTTAAAACTACTCGGTGTAAATTTAGAATTGTATCTGATCACCCTTCAGTAACCCAATATGAACGCTTCACGTCAACATTTTCATTAGTATTTAAACAAATTTTGACAGAGATTATGTTTTGGACACTTTCACATAGTTGAGGGGTTGCAATAACCCCTTTTAAAAACTCCGTGTACTACATAATTATTTTATAATGACATTAACGTTTGGTTAGAAGATTAAAACCATGATTTGAATTATAGTTCATGATTTACTACGGTATTTTCTCTCACAAAAAATACACGTAAATCAAAAATAGTTCTAATCACATGATTCTAATCCATGAACCAAACATTTAAGAAAGAATCCATACTAAATAAAATAAAATAAACATCCCTCTCCTAAGGTAATATGCCTTTTTTTTTTCCTGCCCATTCTTTCATTCTTATTAAACATTTCTTTTTTTTTTTCTCCTTACCAAATGTAGCTTAAAGTTGAATTTCAAAAGAAATGATTGGGAAGTAATCACGCAACTAAGGATATGAATGTATTAGCAAGCAAAATAATTATTATGTGAATAGTTTTCATTACTCGGCAAAAGTAGTTCAGTTAATACTTAATCGGAAACAAAAGAGCGTTACACTTTTCTACGTAGAAAATGTACCCGAAAATTTTGTTTATTAACAGTCAATATACTTGTGTATGGACATAGCTATCCACCTAAGCGTCATACAATTGCATCTAATGATAACATATGTAATTGTTTCGACCCAAAAAAAAAAAACCAAAAAACAAAACCAACCAACCAACCTTAAAGCGTAAAACCATGTCAATAAATCCATCAAAATTTCCTGGTTGATGCACGCAAAAACTGCAACATCAGTGTGGTTAGGTTGTCAGAAAGCAGAACACGATCTATTATTACTATCCCATTCCCATACAACATTGTATTGATGCTCCAAATCCGCAACCTTTGGGGAATCGTCTACGAGAGGAGATGTTTCCCTCCTGAAGACGGCAATCTGGGAAGCAAAACCCGGCTCGATGTCACCAGATCCACCAACTCCACTGAATTCGACGCTATAATTGTGCTCCGTGGCCAAGTCTGTTGCCCAGTGATTGAACTGCTCTCTAGTCCACTCAAACTTATGGTCGTGGTTTCGAAATTTACTAGATTGTGACTGAGTTTTGTCATCTGGATCCTCTTCTTGGCTCGACAGATTAGATCTCTGAAGTATGACATTGTATTCGTAGTTCGGAGTAGAAACTATGAGAACCTTTGGGCAAAAGTAGCTCAACACAACATGGCCAAACAACCATGCTTGATCTTCCTCCATATGCTCAATCACCTGTAATATCCAAAAAGAGTAGGCAGTTTATATTTTTCCTTAATAAGAAAAACTTAATATTGATGAAGAAAATACAAAGAAAGAGGACAAGGGGTCCTCAAAGGGACAAAAACTAAAGATAGGAAGCAAAAACAAAAAAGATGGGAACAAAAACAACTTAATTAAAGTAAAAGGAAAGCCTTTGAATTCTTTATCTGCAGTGGCCCACAGCGAAACTAAAAATTTAGCCTTCTCAAAAAAGTCTTCCACCCCAACTCTTTATCTCTAAAAACTCAAGCATTTCTGTCCAACCATAAGGTCCTCATTATAGAGATCAACATGTACATCCAAAGGACTTTAGCCTTTTTCTTTGAACCAAAATCAAACATTTCTTCATCAATCAGAGACTTAAAATGAGCCGGAAAAACCCCAAAGAAAACCTGCCACCTGAAATAATCTTTGCCAAAGCTTCCTAGCCACATAGCAGTGCAAGAGAATATGATCTAATATTCCCCTGCATTTTTTACATAGAACACAGCACCTGGGAGAAAGAGACCTATGGGGGTTCCTTCTTTGAACCATATCACAAGTATTTAATTTTCATTAAAAACCAGCCAAATAAAAACCTTAACCCTCTGAGGAACACTAGATTGCCAAATGAAATTAAAAGAATCAAAAAGGATCAGCAACTCTTTTGTCAATGATGTCAAGGTAAAACGAATTACAGGAAAAGCCTAAGGAATCACACAACCAAATTATTTTGTCCAGAACCAAAGACCTTGGAGTAAGACTCCAGGACCTGAAGATTGTGTTGGAAATTTGAAATTCCAATTCGCAGAATTGCTACTGGACAAAGTATACATATCCACAATATGGACATATTGACTATCTAAAATCCGAAGCAAACGAGGGAACACCAGCTCAAAAGCTTGGCTTCCACACCACACATCCTTCCAAGAACGAATTCTACTCCTTGAAGTGAACCCTCATCCCATTTAGTGTTTTGAAGAAAATCTGTCAGACCTCCATGGATTTCCAAACGACCCTCTAGAAATCTTATTCGTGTCCCAACCATTTGTATGCATCCCATGTTTACTCTTAATAACCGTAACCCATAATGAATGAAAGAGTAGGCAATTAATCACATCAATGAATCTAACCATGGATAGAATTTGATTTGCACCCAACGGAAATAAAAATAAAAATAAAAATAATCTACCACTTGACTGTTTCTCACAAGCTATAAGATATTCTCATTATTAGTTTCCTCCTCTTTAATTAGTTCATTTACCATTGGAAAAAGAAAAAAAAAAACATATCCTAACATTGTAAGAATCTCAGTTAAAAGAAACACAAATACAAGATTGCATGATCAAATCCAAGTTCTGAGATCAGGGGCATATTAAAAACGTGTCAGAGAAATAATCACTTCGATAAATTAACCGAAATTGAAATATAAACCGTAGGTTGAGGATAAAAAGGTCATGCAAGAAGAAATTTAAAATTCACAAGGGAAGGCATTACCTCTAAACAAGTGCCAATGTCAAATCCACACAGCCGAGAATCAAAACCTGTGATGGAACCATCATAGAGAATTGCAGATGTTATGCCCTTCGATGGGACATCAGCATCTGAGTTTGTGTTTAATTTTGAATGGAGTGTCTGCAGAATTAACAGAAAAATTGGAGATATATGGCCAAGTCAAGTAGCTAATTGCAAGAAAATGAGACGTTAGAGTGGTGCACCTCGCTTAAAACAAAAAAGGCAAAAAATGCTCCTTTCATCAGGAGCATAAGGGACACATGCAAGACATTAATTGAAAGGATCGTTTAAAAGATCACCAGTATGGCAAGATGTTACACCATTGAACTGGAAATATTTCCTTTCAAAAATAAAAAATAAAAAATCTGATAAAAACAGAAACTACCCCGGATTATAGATGTGAAATAACTAATCTAAAAGCATAAAATTACATACTTTTGCTGCACGTATTAGACTCTTGTGTGAGATATCAACACCAACAATTTTTTCTAGAGAAGTCTGATAATTCAGCAAAGAATCCAACAAACTTCCAGAGCCACATCCAAAATCAACCTGCACAGTAAGGAGAGGGTCAAATTTGTGTTCAATTAAGCATTGAAAAATAAAAAGCAAAAACATATGATATGGCCAATTTTTTATATTACCAAATTAGCAGCACAAGATTGCTTAATGTGTTGTAATGCATATTCAACCCGCTGTTTTGAAAGCGGAGGACTGAAAAGAGCCTGCTCCATTCTGTCTTCCAGAGGTTCTGTCACTCGAATCAAAGTTATTGTGTACTGCAACCTGCAGTCTTCTGCATAACAGAAACAAATAAATTATCGCACTGATATCAAACCCGATTACTTAGGAGAGGAAGTAAGCAGGCCAATAGCGGTAATTTTTTTCTAAAAAAAAAACAAAAAAAAACCAGTAACTTTAGTCCTAGAATGACGATAAATAACCAAAGGAATTTCACCTACAATGTCAGATAAACCTGTCCATAAACCGTTAGCATCCAAATCAAACAAGAAGAGAAAAAGATCTTGTATCTTTTCATTGCTAATTATGATAACGTATAGTAGATCTTGTTGTTACCGAATTATGATTATTGGAACTGTTATAACTAGATTAGTCACAAAAATATAACTCTTATAAACTGTAAGTATTTAGGGCATGTTTAGCTCGCTGATTCGAGTTTTTAATTCGAGTTGAGATGTGACTTTATGTGAGAGCTTTTTACTGCAGTAAAAAAGTTAGATGTAACTGTTTCTGAGAGTTTTTTATTGTAACAAAACTCAAATTCTAAACTCGAATCGGTGAAATGAATGGAGCCTTAATATTCAAACGAAATCTCTGCATTCCGCATAATCATAGTTATGAAGGGAAATTAACAGCCAAACCTCCACCCGCACCCGTTTCCCTAAAGAACACCCTTTACTCATTGCACAAAAATGATAAATTATAACCCATTTTTTCCAAGGAATCGCACCCAGTACACAACCAGGAACAATTTCATGCTGTGGCCACAATCTCCCTTATCTTTATAAGGTTGCATGGAGAAGAGAACAACTCACTTGATGATAACAATGGAAGCATATTTCCAGAATCATCAGCAGCAGCTAAAACAAAGTCTTGAGGGGGCAAGTTCATACATAAAAAAGCTGACTGTCCCACAGTCATTTGCGTCACAGCTGCTTCAACTTGAGAAATCACTGATCGTGATCCAATCTCAAACTCAAACTCATCACTGCTTTCCAGAAGTTCTCTCTTCTTTTCACTTTCGATCACCAATGTCGCCGAATAGCTTATACATGATAAGGACCCATTAGACGGGGAGACACCAGAATCTGGGCCAACTATGTCTAGAGAAATTATCCCGTGCCCTGGCATAGAATTTGAGTCATGTGACCTGCCTTCTTTACTATCACTGTGCTGGAACATTCGAATAGATTGACAAAGCACAAATGCTTTGAAAAAACTTTGACGATAAAATTTAATGTCAAGTTCATGGGCATAGCTCTCTAATCTCTCTACAGGCATATCTAGATTCTTGAAATATGCATCTAACCACAAAAGAACTTTCAAAGACGCATTCTGGATTGAATCACTCTGCTTCTTATAAGATTCTTTTGGAGAACATTCTATAATCAAATCCTGAGACTTTGAGTTTATCTTTACTTCACACCTAAACATGCCTCCTGATTCTGCTGCTTCCTTAGCACCATCAGCAACTGCACATCCATTCACACAGTGTGTCCCTTCGACAGCCGAGTCTATCACCTTCAACTTTTTGTGTGATCCTGATGGCTCACACAGTGCTTCCGAGATACTTAGAGGAGACAAAACAGGTTCAGAAAGATGGTGCTGACGGCAGAATGCACAGAGGATATCTCTTGGAAAGGAACCCCTCCAGTTTGCCCTAGTAGTAAATGCTAAAGGTAAGTCAGCCGTAAGTATTGCCCCCCTGGATAACTTGTACACTCCACTAGGTACCTTGCCCAGAAGCATCCTGCAGTTGCAGACTTAAGTATATAATGCAGTTTCTAAGCAAATAAAACATCAATATGATCAAAATAATTGCAGATTCCAAACAAAAATGCACCATACTGTCTTCAAAGCCCAAGAAGAGCAATTAATAATTAAATAAAAATTAAGAGCGCGTCCAACAGGTTTCAGCAAACACATTTAACCTCTCGAGAGGATTCACACAATACTCATCTGCAAGACTTTGAAGTTTGAGCCGAAAGGACGTAGAGGACCAGCACAGGGAAAGTCTAAGAAGTGACTTGCCTACTAAAAGCATTTTTTGTTGTCAGCTTATTATTATGATTACATGCTAAGTGTTGCACACCATAATAGAAGGGGAAAAAAGTATACGAATATCATGTGGAAAAATCAGACGCAAAGAATTAGTGGAAAAATTTTAAAAGGAAAATTTACTTAAAAAAATATATGAAAAAATAAAATTCAGCACTTGTGAAGAAGGCTAAAATGGAGTGGCTGAGAAAGAAAGAATATTCATTTAGTAATCAGTCATAAGAGACCTGTAATATGATTGCATGCTTAAATCTTCATGCCAAAGATCTTTAGACTTCCACGTATATCCAATGGATGCAAAAATTGCATCACCATATATATGCTCACCAGACAAGTAACTTGCCCTTGCATTACAAGATCCCTCCGAATGACAAGGGTTTTTGCCAATATCTGAAGACGGTTCCAACAAAGATGCCTGCAAAGCAGGAAAGTATAACCTTCCTTCAGAAGAAGCTTTACCAATGGGCCTGTAGACAACAACCATGATTAGTGATAGGCATAAAGCATACATACTTATAAAAGCACACAGTACACTATCAATCAACTGTCCTCTTAGATTATCCATATTATTTCTTCCACCCACCTCGTAATCAGAACCTTAGAAGCCTCCACCAAACCCAGTTGGTTTGCAACAACATCCAGATAATACCCTGTTGAAGAAACATTAAGGTTTACGACATCAACGGTCTTCTCATTTGAACATGGTATATATATGGCCTTTATCAAAAAGCTTCTTGGGGAACCAGATTCTTCAATAGCTGAATCTATAATTTCAGGAGGGTAAGGATTTTGCCTCCTAATCCAATGTTGCTCCGCAGAAGTAATGACAATCCCTGATAATTGGGCCGCAGCCTTCATGACATAAGGTATAACCAGGTATGGATTTAACTCCACCTTAGAATCGATTACTTTACTTAGACTGGAAACTTTAGCATCAAGTACAGCAATGACTGAAGCAGGGATTGAACCATAGAGATCGCCTTCTCTCTGCAAGGCTGCTCTCAAGTGACCACTTAGTGGATGAAGAGAACTAAGGAACTGTAACAGTAACAAATAAGTAAGAATAAACAAATAAAAAATAAGGTAGTGTGGCAACTTGATTTTAATATCAAAAAGATTTGATAGTAGCTTGTTTATAGAAAACAACAAAATTAAGGAAATAGAACTTGATTTTTATTTTTTATTTTTTTTGAAAAACAACATAAAAAGCAATCATAAGATCATTCTATCCAACAGGAAGCCTAGAGCTTATTTATTGAAACGTAAATAGAAGATAAAAGTCGATGAATGCTCCCAACAATGCCCAGCCACCAAGCACTGATGCGAGTTTTAAAAAGTCCATCAAGCTTTATATCAAAATAAGAAAATACAAAATAAGTTTTCGGATGCTAAGACTAACGTCCAACATTGACATAAATAGATACATTTGGAAATTTAGAGAAAATTTCTAGCATATAACATTAGTCAAGCGAAGTCATTTCAAATAAATAAGGTAAATGTGAAATATATGCATACAGAAAGCGCAAAATTAATTGCATAAAGGCATACAAGGAAGACAAATAGATATACAGTATATAATTTACCAAAATGAAACTGAAAGGCAGACAAAGCCAAACAAACAGAACAATACTAATCACTTCCAATTGAAAGTTCAAGTACACAAAAACAACTGATAAAAGAAAATTAGTTTAATGCCAAAAACAACGAATAAGAGAAAAATTAGGTTAATGCCATGTAATGCCTATCATCTTATCCAATCATTTCAATGAAAATAATTAGTATAAAAACAATGTAGATGCTCTTAAATAGTTTGTCCTACAAAAACCTATTTAGTTAGAACCAACCTCATCTGAGAACAAAAACTTGACACGACCGACTAAAGCATCCCATGGATCTTGCTGAGTGGGGTTACTTGATGTAGGATTGATGCCAAGCTGCAGCAAAAGGATTACGTAACAAATTAATCCAACAATGAAAATCACAATCCAAATCTTCTTTACATTGTAAATTTAAGTCCTCTTCATTTTCAAATACAGCGCATGGACAATTAAAAATCAAAAATGGACTAAAATTCAGGGTACTGAGTTGTAGAATAAGAGAAACCTTTTCCAAGGCCAATTCAGCAGCATTTTGCTCAGCTTCCTTCTTCTTTTTAAAGATTCCCGAGACAACATAAATTTCTGGTAGCTGCAAAGAGCAGCGATACAGGCAAGGACCTTTTTGTGTGATAGCCAATCCCGGGCATTCATTTTGAGCAGATTCCTGTATTTCCTCAATTTCATAGCTGGCCTTGGAACCAAATTTTTGATATACAATAGATTTTGGTGTGAGGACAGTATTTCGCACTGCAACAGCTGGTGATCCTCCAGTTTCCATCAGTAACCTCTAGATGTCTGATGACTGTTTTCAGAATCACAAATCATTTGAACAAAATAAATCAGCAAACCACTCATTTAATTTCCTAGGAATAACGAGTATTTCAACTAATGTCCATCAGAGGGATAATTCACCGACTGGTGAGTACAAATTAAAATGTAGAACCTAATCTTTATAAAAGCAAGATGGATGCTTTCGTGAACATGAAAAAGTATTGAAAGCTCAAGTTGAACAACCACCCGAGTCTTCTTCTAGGCTCTATAGTTTAGGCACTATTGTTTAGGCTCTAGTAGTTCAACCTCAACAAAAAGTGCATTCCTTGCTGAAATCTGTAAACATGCCAACAAGGAAGAACTACAAAGGGTTGAATTTCACAAGTGCAGAGTAAATAAATTGAGATGTCTTAGAAAAAAATGTCGATCTGAAATTATATTACAATAGGGCTGTTTACATGTACTTATTTACAATCATAGAGACTAACTAGGAAAGAAATAAAACAGGAAATCTCGCAAAATTAATCACCCTAGAATCAGGAAACTACCAAATCCCCTAATTACAGCACACGGATTTCCCAAAATAGGAAAAGCGTGTTTCAACAAGATGACTCTTTTAACAATTGTACATTAATCATAAATAGTCATATTAGCCATAGTCATGCTCCCAAAGATTATCTTTGAAGAGCAGAGGCCAAATCAATTGTCAAGGTTAGAAACATAGCAGAGAAACGCCCATTGCCCAAGAACGCACCTATGATCTTGATAAAAAGACTCGAGAAGGAAACCTCATTCTTAAGCGGACATTCCTATTAAAAAAAACAAAATGCTACTTCAGAACCAGACTTTCAGCAACCTGTAAGTAATAGGGGAATTTCATCAACCTTTTGTCGATTCCTACACCATTGAGATCAAAGATGCTTACTCCGTGTGAAGTCAAATAGCTATTCTTTTACTGATTCAAGGAATGAAAAAGCAAGTCTGAAGCTAAGTCTCCTTGGCTTATCGGTTTTTCTTCCGTCGCCAATGAAATGATGAGAAACCAAAAACTAAGCATGATTTCAAATTTCACCTTCCAAATCTGTTGATTTAGATGCTAGCTAGACATAGAGAGATGACAGTGTTTTCTCCGATTCGCTATATCATTTTGGTATACGCAACTTTAAGTTCATAATGCCATGACATACTGATCTTTTCCTCAACAGTACAGATATCAAAAACTCATTATCAACTAGGTTGTATAGCATTTTCCCACTAGAAACAGCCATTAAAATTTCGTGACTTAATTTCATCTCAAATTGTATACCAAGACGTTATAAATGCAATTTTTAACTTCTTTAACTGAAAAAAAAAACTTAGATGTGAAGGAGTAGTATATCACGGCACACAAGGAATGTCCAGAAAATCTAAAAATAAATTCAGTAATTGGCTCTAATTTTCAGCTTTAAATATAAATTCTCAAAAAAAAAAAAAAGTTAGCATAATTGTCTTTCAATGATTGAGAAATTGAAATTCATACATTCTTGACTTCTTTCCAAATCTTTTCAAGTTTCTTTGCAACCAAACAGACGATACCAAGTCACAAGCTTTATCACTAAATTCCCAACGGAAAAGGCTTTCAAGGAGCAAACTACGAGCTTTTTAGCGAAACGAAGATGAGAATTCAACAATGGGCGAAGTAATTAAAATGCTCTAAAACTAAAAGAAGAAATTTATCACAACAACAAATGAACCAAGCTTTCCGAAACAAGAAGAACTAAAAATTCAAAGATTTAGGGAAAACAAACAAAAACCAAAATTTCAGAAAGAAGAGAAGCGCAAAAAGATGATCAGAAGAAGAAAAGAGAAACATACCTCTCTCTCTCTACATTAACAGATTGAATGAGAAATGGAGGAGAGAGAAAGTGGGTATGGGGGTTCTTGGTTGATGAAGCGTGTTTTTGGTTTGGGAATTTTGGGTTTTGGGGAGTTTCAGAGGAAGCGGTAGTATTTAAAGGGAAAGGAATAAAGGAGGGAAAGGAAAAGGCTTATGGAATTTCATGCACAAAGAAATAAGAGAGAAAAAAAGGCAAATTTCCACATCCTTTGTATGGTTTTGGCCTTTGCCAAGTCTTTATTCTTGTCAGAGTCCCCACCAATTTGTTTGCTACTAAAAAAAAAAAAACTTGCTTGCGAAGCACTCGGGCATTATAAAAGATAAAAAGCTGGTTCACTTTCCTGATTCGAGTTTGTAATTCAAGTTGAGATATAATTTTATGTGAGAATTTTTTACTGTAATAAAAAAGTTAGATGTGACTGTTTCTGAGAACTTTTTACTGCAACAAAATTCAAATTATAAACTCGAATCGACAAAATAAACGGACAGAAAAATAACAAATAACAAATAACAAATAAAAAAGACAAAACAAGAGGATGACTTCGGTGTTAGAAAATCTGCGTGTAGGACCCGTTTGATTTTTATATTTTAATTTTGATTTTGTTATATTATTTTTTATTTAACAAATAATTTAAATTTAAAAATTTCTTATCTTATAAACTTTTCACTCATTAATTAAAATTACTGAAGTAAACACGTAAAAGTAAAATAAATAAAATTTAAGAAGAAGTTTAGTATGTTGTAATATTACGGATAAAAATAAAAATTTGTAATATTATCATATTTTGTATAATAATTATATTTTTTAAATTCTTAAAAAAGTGATTATTATGGAATTTATTTTTTTTTATTTTAAAAGTCTCGTTTATTTTACCGATTCGAGTTTTCAGTTTTAAAGTTTTTACAGTAAAAAATTTTCAGAAAATGTCACATTTAACTTTTTCTGTTACAGTGAAAAACTCTCAAAAAATATCACATCTCAACTCAAATTGAAAATTCGAATCCGCAAAGTGAACGATGCCAAAGTAATTTGAATATCACTCGACAGTGCGCAGCTTACCACCCTGTCGTAGCTGCCGAGCACCTCCATCGCCGCCCCAGTCGCTCCGCCACCGCCCACGGAGGAGCGCATTGAGGAATCGTCCGAGAACGACGAGCAGGAGAGAGCTTCCGAGGAGCAAGTGAGCCGCGATCCCGACGACGCCGAAGCGCTCCGGTCGCTCATGGAGGCGAAGATCAAGGCGAACAAGCTTGACGAGGTGGTCCAGGTCCTGGACCGGCTGATCGAGCTCGAACCGGAGGACCTCGAATGGCCGCTGCTGAAAGCCAACATCCATAGCCACAACGGAGAACTAGAGCTCACAAAAAGCGAATTCGAGGCGATTCTTGAGAAAGATCCTCTCCGCGTCGAAGCTTACCACGGCCTGGTAATGGCGGCCTCGCAATCGGGAGAGAAACTGAATGGCATGGTGAGGAGAGTCGAGGGGAGGCGATGAATGGCATGGTGAGGAGAGTCGAGGAGGCGTTTGAATTTTCTGGTTCTTCATTGAGGTTGAGCTTCTTTTTTGTTTCCTTAATTCTTAACTTTCTTTGTTTTTCGTTTATGTGGTGCTTTTGTTTACTTACATTGTCGTACGTAGGAGATTATATTATAAGGAAGATAAGAGTTCTTTCTAGTGTTTAGTTTGTAAGGTGGATATTATCAGTATCCCTTTGTTGAATTTGGCATTTTGGTATCAAGTATCTATCAACAATTCGAATAGAAGATTGAAAGGGGAAAGAGAGATAGTTTTTCTTTTTTTTTTTTTAGTTTGTTATATTTTTTAAATCTAATTTGTCAAAATTATAATCACCGTAAATAGTTTAAAATTATTTAAAATGTTTAATTTTATAAGAAAAATTACATTACATTACTGTGTACAACCAAACACCGTAAAATAATATTTTTAGGAATCTGACAAAAGATTTCTATGCATAACCAAACATGATAATGTAAGTTTTCAGGAAATCATATTACCCACCATCGTTTTTTCAGGTATTTAATTTCTATTGATTACTACATACTAAGCACCCCTTAAGAGTACGTTTGGAATGGATTTTTGAATGTTTTTAAAAATGTTTATGCACTTCTTTTGAGACACGAAAATAAAAACAATTTGTAAATTGTGTTTGTTTAGTAAATTGTTTGAAAATAAAAACGAAAATAGAAAATAGTCATAACGATTTTTGTGAACGAATTAGAAAACGATTAAAAATTATTTTTCTTTTTTTATTTTCATTTTATAATACTTATCAACAATGTTATAATATATTAACCAAACGCAATTTTATTATATTCAAAATAAAATTAAAATTAATCACAGAATAATTTTTAAAATAATATCATTTTTAATTTTATATTGAAAATAAAAGTCTTTTAAAGACGTTACTAAACAGGCCCTAATATTATCATGATCACAATGCTAAAAAAGAGAAAAGCAAAATACTGAAAGTAAAGAAAATAAAATGATAGAAAGGGTTTTTTTCACATTTTGTCTTGTAGAAGAGAAGGAAAAAAGAAAATATCTCATATAATGTATTTTTTTTTTTGTTAATACTCGTACAATGTACTCTACAAGTATGCCTTTATTCCTATACATAAAAGCATTAACACGCTTTCTTTGTGGGTTTCGTTTCCGTTTCTATGTTTATTCTTGTTTTTTTTTTTTTTGCTTTTCCAATTATGTTTCTGAGTCCTTTTAGTCAAAAGTTTCACGCGTCGTTACAGAAAATACTTACATGTATATATATATAGAAATACTTAATTGAAGCTCATTTAGTTCGCTTATTCGAGTTTTTAATTCGAGTTGATATGTAACTTTATATAATAGTTTTTTAATGTAGTAAAAAAGTTAGATGTGACTGTTTTTTAGAGCTTTTTACTGTAACAAAACACGAATTCTAAACTCAAATCAGTGAAATGAACAGGGCATGAAGAAGCTGCAGTAATCTCGGAGTCAATGTGTGAGAGATTGTGAGAGTGAAGTAGAACCTGAAAGCGAAGGGATTTGTGTTTAAAAATTCATAACTGGCCACATAAAAAAGCTAACTTGGAAGAAGAGGAAAATGAAGTGAAGAGATTAGCACTAAAACTTTATAAAAAATACGCTGACATTATACATATAATTCATTAATGGAAACTTCTAAAACAAAACAAATGAAGAGAAAAATAATTTCACAACAATCAAATTCGTTCTCTTGTTAATTTTCTCTCAACTTTTGGTTTAGAAGAAAGTGTGGAAGAAAGTAAACACCAAATGGAGAAAATGGATGCTTACAGCGCGAAGTAGAGACGTCTTGTCCCTTTCTCGAACATTCTTGATAGCCTGATAATAAAACCAACAAATCCCATCAATTTTCAATTCAAAACAAAGCTTTTATATTCCACCTAATTTCAGAATTTAGAATAACAAACAAACCTCATCAAGCATCTTTTGCCCAGCTTCTATATAACTCAAATCCCTAAAAAAGTTAAGAAAAAAACAGTTGAAACAAAAATTCAACATAAAGTAGAAAATTTTCCAACGCAATCTAACTTGCAATTTAAATAGCATTAAATTGAGGTCACACACGTGTATTTGCGCTTAACTAACTAGTATAAATAAAAAGACGAGAGTGATTGAGGTCAAAACAGTCATTTTACTTACCACTTGTGTCAAATTTTTATTTACTCTTTTCTTATCGAAGTTTTAAGAATTAAAAAATGGTGGATCTTATAGATATACAACTTCTTTCCTTTAAACATTCAAATATAGGATCAAAAGTGTAACATTTATAAAGCTCGGGGGTTATTAGTGTAACATTTAAAAGTTTAGGAACAAAAAGAGACATAGAGTATAACTGGAGGGTCAAAATTGAAATAATTCTGAACTAATTTTACCAAATTACCTCATTAAAGAATCGCATGCATCTCACATGCTTCTTTCGTCTATTTTTTAACGATTTTGTCACCAAATTACCGCATTTGTAAAACTCGGGAGTCATTAGTGTGACATTCAAAAGTTTAAAAGGGTAAAATGAGACAACGAGAATTCTTGAGGGAAAAATTGAAATCAATCCTAAATACAAAGATGAGAAGTGATTAAGGTAAAAATAATCATTTTTTACCTTTTGTTGCGTCAAATCCTTCTCTCATATTTTCTTTCTGAAGTTGTAAGAATTACAAAACGGAGGAGCCTATTAATGTACAACTATATTCCTTCTCAACTTCATTTCTACCAAACAACCCAAAATTCTTTTCTCCTCTTGAATCTCTCCTCTAATTTCTTTCTACTCATATTTCCACTCAACCAAACATATACTTTATATCTCCATTCTGTTGTCACTCCAAGTAGGGACTGTTGGAAAATGTTAAGGGGTTCGGTCCTTTTATTCTCACAATCCTATATTAAGTATAGGTGTTTTTATTATTGGTGATGGTGGCATAGTAACGAAGAACGGCTTATCAATACTTTATCATCTAGCACCAAGAGATTAATTCTCATTGTCCATTATGAGATTGAAATTATGTTTCTCATCAACATCTTCTGCTAATGCAGCAACTTGTGAAAAATTGGCTCTTAATGTAATGACTGAGAAAATTCCAGACCTTAAATAATACAATTCATGTATTTTTAAGCCAAGGATTTTCTTAGAAAATATTATGTTATATTGTGAATGGAGGATTTATGGAATTAATATATGTATTCCTAAATTCTATAGCAAATTTCATGTTAAGTTCATGTTTCGATCAAGTAAATTCGATCGATAAATTCTCGCCGTATTTTAAGGCGGAATAATTTTCAGTACAAGTATAGTTTGAGAATCTTAATTTCAAGAATCTCTAAGCACGGCACGATGTTAGCGGCGTATAAAAAAAAAACGCACTGGCATTTTAAAAGAAGAAAAAAATCCTTAATTGCTAGACAGTTAGGTTAAAGTCGCAAGATAAATACCTATAGTAGATGAGTACAATATGAGCTCGGGAGTTGACACTGTCAGAAACGTCATTCTCGGGATAGAATACAGAAAATTAAAATTTAGAATTTGTTCAGTCTAAAATTAATTTTAAGACTTGAAACAGTTTGAAATATTACGCGAGTAAGAATATAAAACAATATTGAATTATTCAGAAATTAATATTGGACTGTAAGTAGTAGATTAACTTACGTGAGCTAAACTAATTACCTCTAATCAGTATAAATTTAATCTGTTTAGAGGAAATAATTGAGGATAAGATCAGGCACGTAATCTTGCCTTAATCAGATACTTTATATAGTGAAATTTTTAGGGTTCTTGCACTTTCTTTCTCTTATTCTCGCTCATTCTCTCTCTCCTCTCACGTTCTCTCTCACACAAACCATCAATGGCCAAATACTCAAGTTAAGATTCCGACCTCCATTTTTGACACCACCGGTGTCAATAGAAAGATCTCGACGAGCTGAGTTCAACGACATGCGGCACGCCCTCCAACTCCGCCGGAATCAGCCGCAATCACCGGCGGAAGTTCCGAAATTCCCATTTCTTCCCGTCGTGATATCTCCGCCATCCGACCTCCGATTGAGATGATTTCAGTCCCTATGGACTCAGTGCAGCGAGACGAAGAAAACCCATCCATTTTCA